AACCCAAATTGGGTTCCATCGAACCCAGATTTGCTGGGTTCCATCGAACCCAGATTTGCTGGGTTCGGTGGAACCCAGGCTAGGTTCCGTCAAACCCAGCAAACTGGGTTCGATGACCTGAGAAAGAAGAGGAAGAAAGAAGAGGAAGAGAAAAAAAGAAAAAGAGAAAGGAAGAAGATGAATGGAATTTTTTTATTTTATTTTTTTAATAAATAAATAGTAATAATGTGAGTTGGCATGAAAAAAAATTTCACATCAACACGTTTTCAATTTGTTTTTGCCACGTCATCAAAAAAATTATAAAAAATGCCACATGAGCGGGTTAACGATCTAAATTAACAGAATGACTAACGGAGTGCATTTCTTAAAGTTTAGGGATCAAAAAAGTATAAAAATTGTTAAGGGACCAAAAATGTGCAACTCACTAAAGTTGAGGGACCAAATTTAGCATTTAACCTAATTAAAATTGGCACATAAACTTTTTGAAAATTTACTAATATAATAAAAAAACATAACAAAAAGACTATTTCTCTAGTTCAAGCAACTAGTATGAGTACCAAAGGAAGCTGCGTGTTGGTTTCCTTATAATCTAATGAAAGCTTCTTTTATTCCTTGGTCAATTAGATCACAATCTGGATATTATTTTCTTCGCGTAATTATCTCCACCTTTCTAGCAAGTTGATTACAATATAATTCTTGATTGACTACCTATCTATAAAAGATAAACACCTTCCTAGCAACTAGTACCAAGACTTTCTAATTCTGCAGCCCATTAATGGGGTAGAAAAGGATTCTCGAAATTTAAAGGTTAAACACTCAATTTTTGGTCCTTCAATTATTAATGGATCCTCAAGTTCATCCCTAAACTTAAAAAATTCTTAATTTGGTTCCTAAAGTTTGACTATTTAGCCACTTTTGGGTCCCACCCATTAAGTTTTGGGTGACATGGCTTGTTAATTAACGGCAAAATGCATGACATTGATATATCAAAAAAAGATTCTACAAGTAATCCCCTAATTAATGTGCCCAAAACATT